TATTCTAATGTGCGAAAGCGTCTCCTGAACAGCGCTGGTCCACGTGCAGCAGCAAAGACTTCCGGCACACGCGGACAATCATTTCATTAACTTTAAAGACATGTGTCAGGCCTCATTTGCCGGAAATGTTCATATAAAGACGGGGGATGCAGCGCTGCGGCCCCTTCCTCCTCGCGCAAGTGGGACGAACATCCTACCAGCACTTTAGCAGCAGGGTTTGTGTATTTCGCTCACTAATGAACTCTTGTGCTCCGAATCACGTTTCTTTTACCCTTCCTGTTCATCGAGTCTCTCCATCTCTACTTTTTCTCTTTTTTCGTTCTATTCTTTCTCATTAGTGTCTAAGCTACAATGCTAATATGTAAAGAAAAGGAAGAAGCAGTCTTCTTCCATTCGGTTATTTTGAATTATTCTTCTTGATTACTTCCCCTCGTGAATATAATGTTTCACGCTCCTTGTTCTCGTGTTTAGGTTACGAGCATTCCCGGATGTGTTGCCAACTGTACTTTTCCTATTGCGAAAGATTAATTCAGAAGTCGCAGATGTTAAACGATGCTTGTCATGTCCCCAGACGACCCCTGTGTTACACGCACACGACGCAGAGGAAGAGCGAGGCACAGGAGAAGTAAAGAGATCACAGAAGATGTCTTGAGCAGGTTGTCGAGGGAGGGAGTGAAGCGAGTGAGTCACCTCCCGGCGTCAGTTGAGCGGGGTGCGAATGTGCGGTTCTTTCTATGGGTTTCTTGCCTCTTGATTCGGGTTCAGGAAGATGTTTTTGAGAGGAGGGGAGGGAGGTTCAGTATGGCGCCTGCTCTTACCTCCTGGACTAACATGGGAACCTGATTTTCTTGCATTTTTAACGCATCCCCACGTCAACTGCGTAAGCTTTTGGAATTATATTGTATCCTGTATTTCAGACCACGAAGGAAATGTAAACGACAAAATGCAAACCAAGAGAAAAACATCTGACAAACGAACATTGCTGTATGCTTGGGTTTCGTGATGAAATCGGATATGCTGAACAATTCAGGAACGAAATGCAGCCTGGCTCTAAAGTAACCGCAAGCTGTTAATGTAAAAGAGAGGTTCACACATCACACGATCCAGAAACTTGTATATTTAATGTCCGTGTTTTGATGTGGGAAACTGCTTCCGATAATTGGGCCAACGCCATGTGATTTTCGCGCACGCTTTACGTTTCCAGGACCCACGTGAACTCACTCGGTCCTCATGCCAAACGAAAAACAATAATAACGATAACTTCATTTTTAAAAACTCCACATATTTCTCAATTCGTCGGCTGCTCTTTCACAGCCACGTAACCAGCCGGCGAGAAGGTAATCAATACAGCATCTCAAATCCGGAAATTAGGGAAGAGGTGGTGTGCATCCGTGCTGCGAATGAGGGGGGGGGGGCTCGTTGCCTCCGACAGGTCACAATGAATTTAAAAAATAAAAATCCGTTTTGATGTTTCGTTGTTGCTAATATGTATGCACTTTGAAGAACTGGTATGATTGTCTCGAGTTTATATTTTCTTACTTGTCACAAATAAATGCTTTAAACTGATATTTCACTTCCCTCTTCGCAGACTAGAAGGGAAGTGCGTTGATTTGCCAATGTTAAGTCACTTCTCAAGGTAAATTTAGCTTAAAAGTTTTCATATTTTTGGTTTATAAAAATCAAATGTACTCTTTGCATTTCCAGTTTATTTTAGGGCAATCTCAGTCCATGAAGTGCTTCAGGTAATAAAGTCTGATCTTCACTCTAAGACAACGCATGCTCGCTGCCGCATGTAGCATGGGACAAGAAAAGGGAAGAAAATCAGCAGGACCCAATCGCATCTCCATAAACCCGAATCGCCGTCGCCGAACTTCCTACGCCGAGGAACAATCGGCTCTGGACTAGCATGGGAGAGGGGCTGGGAGGGGGAGGGGAGGAGGGATAGGGAGGGCTGGGGGACCGTACGTTCGTATGGATAGCGTGCGGGTGGCTTTGATTGTGGACCCTGTGACGGTCACTTGTTGCGCTGACCAGCACGCGGAACCCACCTGCCTCGACGGCCAGGCGATGGTGTCCGACAATATATGCAGATCTCCTCGAAGTATTTGCTCTCGCTTGGCCTCAAACGCGCATGAATTGGGGCTATAAAGATGCAGTAGCATTTGTGGGGAAGAGGGATAAGCAAAGAGGCCTTTGAAGCTAGAATCAGTGCAAAATAAAAGCTAAGCGAGGATTCGTTTCGGTCATAATAGCAGAGGTAGTAGTAAGATCGGGTAACAGTGATATTCACAGTGTCACAGATAGACCCTTGCCAGGTGGAGGGAGATCTTGGCCATCCCACTTCCCCTAAAGACCCCGCTATCACGCCACGAAGGTGAGAGGCTGGTATTAGACTCGTGAGGATAGCTCAAGGAAATGACTTCCTCTTGAAATACGATAAGATTCATGCTTTTTCGACCAATGAGAAACTTTGACGATGAATCCCCAGAGCAAAATCACAGTCGTAAATTATATAACCTCAACTGAGGGTGCGTCGGACGAGCGAACATTCTAATGTTGCCATAGCAGTTAAATTCCAATATTTTTTCCTGGTGGAACTACTCTCATTGCCCCTAACAGAAGCAAACTGCTCAACAAGGCATCAGTGCGGCCGTTTGGGTGAGCTTATCCAACATCCAGTGACAGACACAAGACTCTCGACAGTGCCGACGAAGAAATCAATATTTAAATACTAACCATATTCTACAGTGAGTCAATGGCAACAACGATTCTCACTGAGTCATTACTCAGTGTAGAAGCCACCCAGCCGCTGCTTTGTTCCAACATTCCCCCATATCATAATTCTAACATCTGCTGTGGTATACGCTCTACATTTATGCATTTATATCTTCTTTTTCTCATCAACGAAAGCCATGTAGTAGATCATCTAAATATTGCAAGCACAACAACAGCAGGGTATGTAAAGCGAGTTGGATGCTCCCTCCGCCCGTAGTTAGTCCTTATGTGCCCACCACAAAAGGATAAATTTCGCCTAACCTCAGCCTTAAGACATCTTCGGCAGGGTCTGTGGCTCTCGTAAGAGGTAAATCAATATTGCAAGTTCCTTCTGGAATGGTGTGTACAAGTAAACTTCTCGGGTAGACAGATGCGTGGATGTGGTTCTCCCCACCCACGAGCGATTGTGTGTGTGTGTGTGTGTGTGTGTGTGTGTGTGTGTGTGTGTGTGTGTGTGTGTTTGTGTGTCTGTGTGTGTGTCTGTCGTGTTCTCTCTCTCTATCTCTCTCTCTCTCTCTCTCTCTCTCTCTCTCTCTCTCTCTCTCTCTCCTCTCTCTCTCTCTCTCTCTCTCTCTCTCTCTCTCCTCTCTCTTCCTCTCTCCTCTCCTCTCCCTCTCCCTCTCCCTCTCCCTCTCCCTCTCCCTCTCTCCCTCTCTCCCTCCTCTCCCTCTCTCCTCTCTCCCTCTCTCCTCTCTCCTCTCTCCCTCTCTCCTCCCTCCCTCCCTCCCCTCTCTCTTCCTGTTTATGTATATGTCAATATATATATAAACAATATGTTAAAAGAACATATATCCGTACGTAGATATGTAAAGAAAAAAAAAGCAACCAAGCAACTACTAATTGCATATACACGAAAAAGTCGACCAATCACCAAACCTTTACATTCTTATCTACTAGCTTTCAAATTGCATAAAATTCATTATGAATAATTACATTGTGGATACGCATCTATTTTTCTGCAACCTTGTGCACAGACGAAGTTCTACGGAGATAATATGGATTTATAGATCTCTTTCGGAACAATGGAGATAGCAGGCAACTGGCTGACGTTCACAACACATTGCTCGAAATAAGCATTCTCGGTGATGATTCGCACTGTCATGAAATTTGCGACAAAGATCAAAGGTTATCTAATCGCAGAGTATCAATAATTTCCACGCTAACAATCTGTTCCTGACAATAGAAGTAATAACATATGAGAACAATTGGCAACTCGCCTAACCCACTTGGCGGGCTCCTTGCAAAGCGGGAAAAATACGTCCGATTAATCTCCTACAAAATTTATAAGAATACATCTGCCACCCTAAATATGGCAACGATCAGTCATATTCCCGTGGTCATATGTCAAAGAAGATTTTCCTTGCCTGTAACTGATGGTGCGATCAGAAATGCGCACGGGAAATGGTATGATAAAAGAGAAATGGATTTGAAATAAAAGCTAACGATTCGGTGACATGCTGATTTGGCTGGTTAATTCCGACATCTTCCATCTCGATGCGAGTAGACGAATTTGGTCTTTAATACCAATTATTTGTTATCATTCACTTTCGTCGCGTCAGTAGTTTTTTCTTCAGTCTGATTGTGACTGATTGGCTTGTCGCTCGAAACCGTGCATTAATGTAAAACGACTATGGTTTTCCTTGCCTAAATCATCCATGCCGTAGGAAGACATCGGCAAGATGATATTGGAGCGTTCGCAGTATGATTTTACGAAGTAGAGACATTTGAAGGGCCAAATGGATCCCCCTACAGGTATGCAAGGACTACACCGAGCTATTCGACATTCGTATCAATGATCGAGCACATAAGGACCATATCACCGAACCATACAAAATCTTGCGCCTTTTGCTCTCATATATTTAAAATACGTGGGGTATTTCCTCCATTTCTTGCGTCATGAGCCCCTAATGAGCCCCATCATAAGGACCAAAATTGATTGTCAGCCCCAAAAGCTAAGCCTCTTGGCCACCCTATGTTGGCGCGTCGTTCACGAACGACCAATGGAAATGCAGCATTTTCCCGCGAACATCAGTACAAAGCCGTGAAGGGAATGCGAGGCGTCGTTTCCGCTGGCCGCCCGGCCAATCAGCGCTTAGTTAGAGGCTAGCGGACCAGCAAACCGAGTTGTGATTGGTTGATGGGGAGGAGCGGGGCGGGTTCCGGCCAGGCTCGTGTGTCCCGCGTGGCCTGGCCCGCAGTAACGGTCGTAAAGCGTCACTCGCTAAGACGGTGTCGGAAGGAGAGGGCTGTTGCGCCTCCACTCACACGGTCACTTATTCTTTTGTGAGTGCCACTTCAGTGCCAATATGCCACGTGGAAGACCCAGAGGAGTTGCAGCCGAGAAGCCTCGTGGCCGCATGACGGCCTATGCGTTTTTCGTGCAGACTTGCCGTACAGAACACAAGAAACTTCATCCCGACGAGAATGTGCAGTTCGCCGAATTCTCGCGCCAGTGTTCCGAGCGCTGGAAGACGATGTCCGACAAGGAAAAGAAGAAATTCCACGACATGGCAGAGGACGACAAGAAGAGGTACGACGAGGAGATGAAGGACTTCGTGCCCTCGCCGGGCGCGGGGCGACGAGGACGGCGCGCGCGAGGAAGGAGACCCAAGGATCCCAATAAGCCCAAACGCGCCTTGTCCGCTTTCTTTTACTATGCCAACGATGAGAGGCCCAAGGTGCGGGCGGCCAACCCTGACTTTTCCGTGGGCGAGGTCGCGAAGGAGCTCGGGCGACAGTGGAACGAGCTGGGCGAGGATGAGAAGGTCAAGTACGAGAAGCTGGCCGAGGAGGACCGCGCCCGCTACGACCGCGAGATGACGGCGTACAAGTTCGGCGGCGCGTCCCCACAGAAGAAGATGAAGGCGAGCAACGGACACCCTGTGGACGCGGACCCTGAGGACGACGAAGACGAAGTGGGCGGAGAGGAAGACGACGAGGATGACGTGTCTGACGAAGGGTCGGAGGACGAGTGAGCGAGCGTCTTGAGTGACGAAGTGTGTGAAATTTACAGGACCAAAAAGACAGTGTTATTGTGATGTACAAACTTATTTTTATATTCCTAAGCCTGTACATTTTAGAAGTTAGTGTAATCTATTTATCCCGGTTGGGATTCCTCAAGGATTGATTTTACGACTCGTGTTACCGTATATCATGTACTTACAAACCTCAATTTTTGACATTTAGTTTTTATATTTTCTACCAATAAACAAAAACTGCCACGGAGATTTTTTAATTTACCCTGCTGTGTGAAACTGTTAACACCGCAAGTTGCCCTGTACATTATTCTATGAGCTACTGAGTGAGTTTTTGTACTGATACCGTGCTTGTCAGAATTTTGTGTGGGTTGTGCAAAGCAAAAAGATCCAGTTATGCTAAACAAGTTCCGGCCTTGCCGCCATTTTTAAATATTGTATATTGTTCCACTTCCTGGTGTTGCCAGTGGTGTCCTTAATGCAAAAAGTAAACCTCTTTCGAAAATCAGAGTGGCAAAATGTAGAATCAAAGTTACTGGGAAAGGAAGGCCAAGTCCGCTAAATAAAACTGCTGTTAAATCTCTCGCGGTGGGAGTAGGGGAGGTGGATATGGAGAATAGGGTGTTGGGGAGGGGGGTGGGATGCGTATGGACGCCCGCTTCTACGCCGGTGACTTGTTTCGATAAGTTGGCGTTTTAGTTTTATTTCTGGATAGTCTAACTCGATATTCTCCCTAGTAGATTCCAAGCTGATCATGGGCCTTGCGGGTTGCTTTTATTTCTTAAAGTAATTGAATGGGGAAAGTACTGCGTCTTGTATCTAGGCGGTCGGCAGTGTATGGTAACCCAGCACTCCCTGAACACCTACCATCTTTTTTACACTAATTCGCCGGTTTTCGAATGGTTAACTTGCAGCAAAGCTGCTTCTCTGCTGTTTTGGTGGTCGTCTATCAATGAAAGTATTGCTTATCGATCGCCAATTTATATAAACACTCGTGTTATAATTCCTCAAGTAGATTTCCGTCACCAGCCATTGATGTTTGTTTCTACACACTGAATAAATTATTCCATCTCTACAAATAAACTGGTCTTGCCATCCATGAATATTTAACTCCAATAATTTAATTCTTCTCGCCAAGTATTTTTGGCGGTAAGTTATAGTTGACGGATTTTTCCTCAAGAAATTAAGAATGTATACGAATAAAGGTTATGCAACATTATCCACTGAAAAGAAAAAAAATGCGGTGCAAATTGCACTTCAATACATTTTGGCAATTACAGTCATGCTATGATTTCAGCAAGTATTTAGGAGGAAAAAGTAGCCTACAAATGGTAAGTAACTGCTAGACACAAGGTTTACTTACTGGATAATAGCAAAAAGGTAAAGTTTGCGACACTTTTTTTGTATGCTCCAAAACTGCCGAATAGGTTGTCAAGAACGGTTAATGACTGAAACAAGCAAATGTGCTCGGCACCTAAGGTCATATAGCGCTATGGTACAGTATTGTAATAGAGTAAAGGAGTTAACGATTAGTATAAAGTGTGTTAAATGTCCAAGATAGTGTTATTGGATAGTATGATAGGGAAAAGGGTAAAGAGGGGTGCAAATGATGTAAATCATACATTAATATAGGAAAGGGTTAAGGGTATAGGGCGATTGGATGGAATGGGGTGTACTTCGTTTGGGGAAGCTATAACAATATTGCTTTGGTGGTAAACTGGTAAAAGAGCTGTTATGAAATAATGGGTAATGCGTGTAGAGATGGCTGTTGGAGAAGTAGCCGGAGTCTGGGGGATGAAATAAGGGGACTGGGAAAGGAGGTAAAGTATCGGGAAGTATCATCATCATCATCAGGGGGCTAACGTCAGCTATGGAAGTATCAGGAGGGGAGGAATCCGGTGGAGGATACTGTTGCGACAGAAAGGAGTCACGTGAGTATTTAGGTGGGAGAGGTAAAGATAATGGAAAACGAAAAGGGAATGGTGTACATGGGAGAGGATGTTTTTTTTTGGGAAAGAGGAAGAGGGGTGGGGAAACTTGCGGGGGAGGATGGATGGATGTCAGCAAATACTTTGAATGTAGAGGGACTAGGAATAGAAGGATTGGAGGGTGGATGAGGGAACGCAACATTTTCTTGGGTTATGTCTAGGAATTTTTTGGTCTTCAGAGTTTCTTGAGATTTGGGTTGGGAGGGAGGAGGTTGTCTCAATTTTGGCTCATAAAATTACTTTGTTTCTTCATTTTCTTAGCCCATCAACTTTGTGGCTAAAGTTTATTTAACAATTATACTAAAAAGGATAATAAAATAAAAGTTTCTCTTTTTTTTACAATTTTTTTTATTGATTTCCTTACAACCTTCCTCTTTTCTGATACTAACATTTTTTTTTGTTTTTTGCTTTTATATGGATATTTTCCCTTTCTAATGTTTTCCTCTTTTGTCCAACTCCATTTTTTTATTTCTTAACATACATTTTTTTTTTGGTTCTTATTTTTTCCACCAATCTCCACAGGGAATGCAGGACAATCACAGGCAGCAACTTTTTTTTTTAATTGTTAAACTGAGGAACCTTTTAATTACTGAACCCATGTAAATTCATGATCTTCCAATGGCTATTTAAAAAGCAGGTACGCAAAGATTTCCTTTTTTCTGGGTATCATACTTACAGAGCTGAAGCAGTGAATTTACATGGGCTAAATAATACGTCAACTAACCTAATTAAAAACCTGTGATTATCTTAAGCCGCAGAGCTGAAAAGGAAGGGTTAGATACGCTTACCACTAAATCTAATCCCATTCCATATGTGACCAGATCAGCTGTTTTTTCTTTTTTCTTTTCTTTGAGAAAAAATATAAAACAAAGAAAAATAAAATATCAACACAGAAAATAACACAATTATAGGCTGATAAAAAGTGGTTTTATCATTACAAGTTTGCAGAACACACATTACTAATATCTTATTATAGGAACAAGTAATTAAAAATTCTCAGCTGATCATGGCACATCCACCTCCAGTTCCCATCCCTGATAAAATAAAAGACAGCAACAGCCATCCATAACACACACCTGTGTGTTGTCAAAAAGGAAAAGGAAAAAAAATAACAATAAAAATTATCATCTATAAAAATTATGTGTAAGGAAAACCCAGCCCTTAGTTGAAACCTGGTTATCTTTCATAATTGCCTATCAATGAATTACCTGCATAATAAAATTCTAAATACCAGAAAAGAGGGAATGATTTAGGTGCATACCAGTGAGTTCAAACATTAGAAATAATTATGCAAAAATGATATATGGTAAATCAATTACGGAAGTATGGGATCGGCATCCACCTGTTCAGCATCACCTCCAAACGCAGCCATTAATAAGGGCTGTAGTAGAATCTCCGTCCCCTGAAATGACAAATGTGATCAAGCTGCTGTTATAGAGTGGAAAAACTTCTTGTCCTAATATTCATCAAACTTTGCCTATGATTACAAATCCAAGTTCTATTGGAAAATCATATTAGAATGTGTAATGAAGTGTGTAACATTTCTTTTTCCTTCATTTTTTTAAAGGCTTTCTTTTCTCATTTTCATTTTTTTTATTATCATTTTTGTTTATGTATTTTTCTCTTCTGTTACTCTAAGAAAAGGATAGAAAAAATACTGAACGTGATATGTATATCCTAACTTCCATAAATGATGTGACATCAATACAAGGTAGTCTTCCATATTTCAAGTATCACATGACATCAACAATTTCTCATGTATTAACAATCACTTGACACAATGTTCTCTTTTATCAACAAAAAAGTTAGAATATATAACTGTTCAGTGACACCAGTATAAGAGACTATCACAATAATTTAATTAGAAATTACAACTCACAACCATAGTTCAACAAGCATTTTTTTTTTTAATAATAAGCATATTAGAAATAATCTATCTTTGGTAGGTGCAGGATACCTCTCCATAAAGCTCCTCATTTAACCTAGCGCATATATAAACATGTACAATATTTCAATCATCAAAGTACCTAATTGCAAATGGATATTGGCTCATACCCATAAATACAAGTAGGAGTAAAAAAAAATACATTGGAATTTAGTCTACCATAACTAGAAACAAGAAAGTGAAAGTGTTTGAAATTTGTAATTATCTAGACTGAACCTTTTACTTTGCATGATTGCCCACTTACCTTTAATTATGGACTGAGATACAAACCCATAAAAAGACACAATGATGATGATAATACTAGTAGTAGTAGTAGTAGTAGTAGTAATAGTAGTAGTAGTAGTAGTAGTAGTGTCAATAGTGATAAAAATAAAAATCATCAACCCAAGTTATTCAGTCTGAGAACATTACTTATATTCTTAACACTTTTTAATATCTCGTTTATTATATACTTCTTGATTTTTGTTTTGTATTCATTTATTATTATTATTATTATTATTTTTTACAGACATCCAATTCAATTTTATGTTGTGCCTGCATAAAAATTCTTTGACACACTTCATAGTTCATGACCTTTGAAATATGTTTAAAAATAAGTAACTTTTTCCTTTTCCAAGCATTTTAGTCATTAATGGTGTACATATAACTATCTTGTAATAACCTTTCTTAAACACATCTTGATCAAATTTGTCCTAACCATTATGCAATATTTTTAATTTTCAGAATAGAATAATGGTAAACAAAAGAAATGAAGAAAGGGGAAAAAAAGAAAGAAAGAAAAAAATGGGGGTCTTCAGCCGTGATTGAAAATATCTACTAAACTGACATGTGTGAGATTCAGCATAATGAACGAACAACTAATAATAATGATAATAATCACCCAAACATATAAATCACTAAATCTGTTACATGACAAAGTTATCATAAAACGGACTTAAGCTTGGACAATCAAAATACATTTTTTTTTACCAATTCCATAGTTTAAAAGAATGTAGACAAATGGAAATGAAATAAATAAAATAAAAATAAATAAAAACTGCTAAAAAAGAGGAAGATCTATTAAATACATAATTCATATAAAAGCTCTAGTACAATATTGAAGCCCTATTTTAAAATGTGCTAAAGCTCTTCTTAGGAATGTCTTCCATGTTGAAAACATGAACTAAAATTAACAGAAAGGAAGAAGAGGGTGAGAAAAAATATATATAACCCCAAAATCTACACCTGAAGTAGACAAACAAAAGGTTATATATTTCTAAAGTCTGAAGGTACACATTTTTAAAATCAAATGAAGCCCATCCAAGCCAAGTTTCCCATACTATTAAATCTATTCTTAAAATTCTTGATAATTTGAAAGAGAGACCAAGAGAAAGAAATAACATGGTCAATAAATTAGGACAGAACATGAAGAAATCTATTACCATAAAAAATTAACAATACTTATGGATTAAAAAGTCAAGTAATCTAATAGAAATAAAACAAAATAAATAATCATAAAACCTATTAAAATAACCTTTTAAGTTAAAGATCTGGTATTTTCATTAGTTCTTATTTTCTACAGTGGTATCTGGCATGTTTTGAAGCAAGTCATTAATAACCTCGTGAGAATTGCATTTTTTAAAATTTTTATTTATTTTTTATTTTTTTTTCCCCCTCTATTCTTGCTCTACTAAAACCCAACTCCAATTCATATACCCTATTTTTATACTTCCAAACTTAAAACTACAGCAAAGGTTCAGGTATAAAGGAATGTTTGTCCAAACAATTGGCAATTACAGGACATTACCATTATTACAGTTAATGGAAAAGGTATTCCTCTGCTACAAACTAATTCTCCAATCACTAATTTCTAATCAAATACCTTCCTACAAATAGTGAAACCTTAATAACTCCTATCTTATTCCAGTGGCAAAAAATTCCAACAAATCAAAAATACATCTCTTTACATATATATATATATATTATACAATATATATATAAATTATTCACTTTGAAGCTGCATCATATAACAAGGACTTGTCATACTAAGTAGAAGTATAACAGCATAAAAAAAAGAGAAAAAAAAATTATATGTATATATATATATAGCTGTCTCCTTTACTTACAGTAGCAGATTACAAAGGTTTCACTACTGAGGTTAGTCTTACAGATACCTGCTCGGTCGTCGCAAGGGTCTGTAACTTGAATAAAACCGTCCACGACCCCGTCCAGGCACGCCTCTTCGTGGGGGCCTGTTACTTGTACTGATGCCAGGCTTGTTCGTTCGCTTGGGCATAACCTGAGGGAGATGAGGTGCTGTGATTAGACTAGTGCAGCTGGTGATGATGCTGATCAGACTAGTGCAGCTGGTGATGATGCTGATCAGACTAGTGCAGCTGGTGATGATGCTGATCAGACTAGTGCAGCTGGTGATGATGCTGATCAGACTACAGCAGCTGGTGATGATGCTGTATATATGAAGTGATAAAAACAAGGTATAGTGTGAAAATTCCACAAACAAAATAAGGGCTAGAATTAAAAAATAAATAAATGAATAAATAAATTTTCAAGTAACATATCTTCATACCTATCTACCAATATATATTTCAAACACAAACATAGTGAGTGTGTGTATACATAATTATACATGTGTGTGTGTGTGTGTGTGTGTGTGTGTGTGTGTGTGTGTGTGTGTGTGTGTGTGTGTGTGTGTGTGTGTGTGTGTGTGTGTGTGTGTGTGTGTACATGTGTGTGTGTGTGTACATGTGTGTGTGTGTGTGTGTGTGTGTGTGTGTGTGTGTGTGTGTGTGTGTGTTGTGTGTGTGTGTGTGTGTGTGTGGTGTGTGTGTGTGTGTGTGTGTGTGTGTGTGTGTGTGTGTGTGTGTGTGTGTGTGTGTGTGTGTGTGTGTGTGTGTGTGTGTGTGTGCGTGTGTGTGTGTGTGTGCATGTGTGTGTGTGTGTGTGTGTGTGTGTGTGTGTGTGTGTGGTGTGTGTGTGTGTGTGTGTGTGTGTGTGTGTGTGTGTGTGTGTGTGTGTGCATATGTGTGTATATGTGTGCATATGTGTGTGTGTGTATATGTGTGCATATGTGTGTGTGTGTGTGTGTGTGTGTGTGTGTGTGTGTGTGTGTGTGTGTGTGTGTGTTGTGTGTGTGTGTGTGTGTGTGTGTGTGTGTGTGTGTGTGTGTGTGTGTGAGGAAGCAAAGGAGGAGGAGGAGGTAGGGGAAGAAGCAAAGGAGGAGGAGGTAAGGGAGGAAGCAAAGGAGGAGGAGGTAAGGGAGGAAGCAAAGGAGGAGGAGGTACAGGAAGGAAGCAAAGGAGGAGGAGGAGGAGGTAGGGGAAGGAAGCAAAGGAGGAAGGAGGAAGGTAGGGGAAGGCAAAGGAGGAGGAGGAGGTAGGGGAAGCAAAGGAGGAGGAGGAGGTAGGGGAAGAAGCAAAGGAGGAGGAGGTACAAAGGAGGAGAGAGGGAGGAAGCATAAGGGAGGAAGCAAAGGAGGAGGAGGTAAGGGAGGAAGCAAAGGAGGAGGAGGTAAGGAAGGAAGCAAAGGAGGAGGAGGAGGAGGTAGGGGAAAGGAAAGCAAAGGAGGAGGAGGAGGTAGGGGAAGAAGCAAAGGAGGAGGAGGAGGTAGGGGAGGAAGCAAAGGAGGAGGAGGGGAGGTAGGGGAGGAAGCAAAGGAGGAGGAGGAGGTAGGGGAGGAAGCAAAGGAGGAGGAGGTAGGGGAGGGAGCAAAGGAGGAGGAGGAGGTAGGGGAGGAAGCAAAGGAGGAGGAGGAGGTAAGGGGAAGGAAAGCAAAGGAGGAGGAGGAGGTAGGGGAAGAAGCAAAGGAGGAGGAGGAGGTAGGGGAAGAAGCAAAAGGAGGAGGAGGAAGGTAAGGGGAGGAAGCAAAAGGAGGAGGAGGAGGGTAGGGGAGGAAAGCAAAGGAGGAGGAGGAGGTAGGGGAGGAAGCAAAGGAGGAGGAGGAGGAGGTAGGGGAGGAAGCAAAGGAGGAGGAGGAGGTAGGGGAGGAAGCAAGAGAGGAAGGAGGAGGTAGGGGAAAGTGCCAACTAGAGGCAAACAATGCAATTAAAGGATAAGACGAGACAACCAAACACACCAAAAATCAACAGGGCAACGGATGAATAATCTATTAAAGGAGAGAATAAAAGGTAGAACAAACAGTAAATTAGCCCATGTAATGAACTAGATACCCAATATCAAAGTGGCAACATTTATGGCCTTAACATGCAACAAGAATATAATAATAAGCAGAATTATATGTAAAGATGCGCTGGATAATAAACATTTAATGAAACTGGGATTAATAAAGTGGACCACAAAATTACTGGAGAAGAGGAACAGCAACAAGGAGGATCATTAAAGTGAGGGAACACGCTGTGGTAACTAGGATGACTTAATGGAGGTAGGGGAAGAAAGCAAGGACATTATAAACAACAATAGAGTAGAAGGAGGGTGGGCCGGACTGAAGGAGGTTAGGGGTGGTTGAAAAGGCACCCGCAGGGAGGTGGGAGGAGGAGGGTTAGGGCGGCGGCGAGTAAGCAAAGGAGCGAAGGAGGAGGGTACGGCAGGTAAGCAAAGGGAAGAGGAGGAGGTAGGAGGGACTGGGAGGCAAAAGAGAAAGGAGGAGGTAGGGACGCAGGAAGCACAACCAGCGTACCGGTAGGAGGGAGGGTAGCAGGCCGAACTTCTGGCTCTTGGAGTAGTCTAAGGGAGCGCGGGGACGCAAAGGAGAGGAAGGAGGGTAGGGGGGGAAGAAGCAATAGTGAGGTTGAGGAGGAGTAAGGTCTAGGCGGTAGATTGTTCTCTCGGGCATCGGGAAGGAAGCAAGGATTGGAGGATTGGAGGTTAGGAAGAAGCAGAAAGGAGTGGGGGGAGGTGAGGTAGGGGAAGAAGCAAAGGAGGGAGGAGGAGGTAGGGGAGAAGCCCAAATGTCTGGCTTCTTGCCGCCTAGGAGGTAGAGGAGGGTCGAGGGAAGAGCAAAGGAGGGGAGGAGGAGGCTGAGGGAGGAATGCACCAAAAAAAAAAAGGAGGAAGGACGGAGGTAGGGGAGGGAAGCAAAAGGAGGAGGAGGAGGGGTAGTAGGGGAGAAGCAAGAGGGAGGAGAGGTCTAGAGGGTGAAAAGAAAAGCAATAAGGAGGGGAGAGAGAGGGGAGGAAAGCAAAGGAGGAGGAGGAGGTAGGGGAAGAAGGCAAAGGAAGGCAGGAGGAGGTAGGGGAAGAAGCAAATGGGAGGGCAGGAGGTAGGGGGAGGACAAGGAAGGCAGGAGAGGTAAGGAAGGAGGAAGCAAAGGAGGAAGGAGGGGTAGGCACAGGGGGAGGGAGATGGAGGTAGGGCGGGAGGAAAGCAAAAGGAGGATGGAGTGGGTAAGGGGAAGAAGCAACGGAGAGGAGGAGGGTAGGGGAAGAAGCAGGAGGAGCGAGGAAAGGTGGGAGGAAGCAATGGGAGGAGGAGAGAAGTAGGGGAAGAGCAAAGGAGGAGGATGAGGTAGGGGAGGAGCCAGAGGAGAAGGAGGAGGTAGGGGAAAGAACGCAAAGGAATGGAGGAAAAGGAGGTAGGGGAGGAAGCAAAGAGGAGGAGAGGTAAGGGGAAAGAAGCAAAGGGGAGGGGAGGAGGAATGGGTAGTGGAAAATGCGGAAGCAAGGAGAGAGGTAGGGGAAGAAAAAGCAAGGAGGAAGGGAAGGTAGGGGAAAATGAGAAAAAAAGCAAGGAGCGAGGAGGATGGTAGGGGAGAAGCAAAGGAGGAGGAGGAGGTAGGGATGGAAGCAAGGAGGAGGAGCAGGCAAAGAGGAGGAGAGGTAGGGAGGAAGCAAAGGAGGAGGAGTAGGGGAAGAAGCAAAGGAGGAGGAAGGAGGTAAGGGGAGAAGGCAAAGGAGGAGGAGGTAGGGGAGGAAGCAAAGGAGGAGGAGGAGGTAGGGGAGGAAGCAAAGGAGGAGGAGGAGGAGGTAGGGGAGGAGCAAAGGAGGAGGAGGAGGAGGAAGGTAGGGGAGAAGCAAAAGGAGGAGGAGGAGGTAGGGGAAGGCAAAGGAGGAGGAGGGAGTAGGAGGGGAAGGAGCAAAGGAAGGGAAGCAAAGGAGGAGGAGGAGGTAGGGGAAGAAAGAAAGGAGGAGGAGGAGGTAGGGGATAGAGAAGCAAAGGAGGAGGAGGAGGTGGGAGGAAGCAGCAAAGGAGGAGGAGGAGGTAGGGGAAGAAAGCAAAAAGGAGAGGAGGAGTAGGGGAAGGAAGCAAAAAGGAGGAGGAAGGAAGGTAGGGGAGAAGCAAAAGGAGGAGGAGGAGGTAGGAGGAGGAAAGCAAAGGAGGAGGAGGAGGTAGGAGGCAGGAAGCAAAGGAGAGGAAGGAGGTAGGGGAGGGAGAGGAGGAGGAGGAGGAAAGGAGGCAGGAGGAGGAGGAGGTAGGGGAAAGAAGCAAAGGAGGAGGAGGAGAAAGAGGGAGGAAGGAGGAAGGGAGAGGAGGAGGTAGGGGAGGGAGCAAAGGAAGGAAGCAAAGGAGGAGGAGGAGGTAGGGGAGGAAGCAAAAGGAGGAGGAGGAGGTAGGGGAGGGAGGAAGCAAAGGAGGAGGAGGAGGTAGGGAAGAAGCAAAGGAGGAGGAGGAGGAGGTAGGGGAGGAAGCAAGGGAGGAGGAGAGCAAAGGAGGAGGAGGAGTAGGGTAGGGAAGGAAAAGGATGAGGAAGGAGTAGGGAGGAAGCAAAAGGAGGAGGAGGAGTTAGGGGAGGAAGCAAAGGAGGAGGAGGAGGTAGGGGAAGGAAGCAAAGAGGAGGGGAGGTAGGGGAAGAAGCAAGGAGGAGGAGGAGGTAGGGGAGGGAAGCAAAGGAGGAGAGGAGGTAGGGGAAGAAGCAAAGGAGGAGGAAGGTAGGGGAGGAAGCAGGAGGAGGAGGTAGGGGAAGAAGCAAAGGAAGGAGGAGGAGTAGGGGATAGAAGAAGGCAGGAGGATGAGGTAGGGGAGGAAGCAAAAGGAGGAAGGAGGAGAAGGTGGAGGAAGCAAGGAGGAGGGTAGGAGGGTAGGGAAGAAGCAAAGGAGGAGGAGGAGAGGAGAGGGGGGAGGAAGCAAGGAGGAGAGGAGGAGGTAGGGGAGGAAGCAAAGGAGGAGGAGGAGGGGTAGGGGAGGAAGCAAAGGAGGAGGAGGAGTAGGGGAAGGCAAACGGAGGTGGAGGAGGTAGGGGAAGAAGCAAAGGAGGAGGAGGAGGTAGGGGAGGAAGCAAAGGAGGAGGAGGAGGTAGGGGAGGAAGCAAAGGAGGTAGGGGAGGAAGCAAGGAGGAGGAGGAGGTAGGGGAGCAAAGGAGGGAGGAGGAGGTAGGGAAGAAGCAAAGGAGGGAGGAGGAGGTAGGGGAGGAAAGCAAAGGAGGAAGGAAAAGGAGGAGGAGGAGGAGGGGAAGGAAGCAAAGGAGGAGGAGGAGGTAGGGGAAGAAGCAAAGGAGGAGGAGGAGGTAGGGGAAGAAGCAAAGGAGGAGGAGGAGGTAGGGGAGGAAGCAAAGGAGGGAAGCAAAGGAGAGGAGAGAGGTAAGGGGAGGAAGCAAGGAGGAGGAGGAGGTAGGGGGAAGAAGCAAAGGAGGAGGAGGAGGTAGGGAAGAAGCAAGGGAGGAGGAGGTAGGGAGGAAGGCAAAGAGAGGAGGAGGGGCAGGAGGAGGTAGGGAGGAAGCAAAGGAGGAGGGGAGGAGTAGGAGGTAGGGGAAGAAGCAAAGGAGGAGGAGGAGGGTAGGGGAGGAAGCAAAGGGAGGAGGAAGGAGGTAGGGGAAGAACAAAGGAGAGGAGGAGGTAGGGAAAGAAAGGGAGGGAGGAAGGAGGTAGGGGAAGAACAGCAAAGGAGGAGGGAGGAGTAGGGGAGCAAAGGAGGAGGAAGGAGGTAGGGGAAGAAGCAAAGGAGGAAGGAGGTAAAGGGAGGAAGGTCAAAGGAGAAGAAGGAGAAGGAGGAGGAGGAGGAGGAGGAGGAAGTAGGGGAGGAAGCAAAGGAGGAGGAATGGAGGAAGGGGGGAAAACAAATTAATTAATCAATTGAATAAAATGGGGAACTCTATCTGTAATGTAACTTACCTTGAGTTGTCTTCCCCTGAAGAGTGACTCATCAAGTGCCATAGCCATCTGGACCGAATCTTTTTCTGAAAACTCTATGTAAGCAAAGCCCTTTGGATGCCCATCGTATTTATTACATAGAATAGTTACTCTGTTGACTGCCCCGCAACCATGGAAATGCTGTTCTAGTTCCTCAGCTGTGGCTCCATAATCAACCTGCAAAGTTGAAATGGGTATGTATACTTCTATCATCGTCTTGCCAAATGGATTGGGATCTGGCATACTTCAGCCATATAATTAGAACAATCTTAACAATCATTAATTTAGTAGCTGCCACAAGCTAGGCATTCAGAGAGAAGATTACTCGTCATTATCGGAGCGAAAGTTTCACTGGATGACAGGTACCTTCCTCACTCACGACCGATCTTCTTCATCATATATACCAACTAGATGGCAACTACATTCACTACCAAGGAAAACAAGACTTCATTTCAAATATCTATGTTTCATCTTGAAGTCTAAAAACAATATTCTTTATTTAAGCATTTTTACATGTCTGTCCTTCCCTAACACTAACATTTTCGAAGTGTACTCACATTGCCCACATATATTGAACGTGCATCTACTTCCATCTTCTCTTCTAAGGACATATTTAGAGGTGATGTGGCTCCAGCTGCCCCAGGTGGAGATCCTAAATTCATCTGCTTATCTACTTCTGACTGGATCTGTCGGATTTTTTCTGCTTCCTCTTCCATTTCGCGAACTCGTGCTGCATGAGGAAGGAACCCAGGAATAAATGGCAGCCATAGTGATGGAGATATATATTGAGACCAAAAGAGAGAACAGAATAATGTGCATTAAGATTATTCATGTGCTGTTATACTTCTGCGTCCAGGAAGTCTTTTCTTCCTTCATTTATTTTTCTTGCTTCTTTGTTGTTTATTGGAAAACAAAAATAGAAAGTCACACTAACAAATAACAGGAGGTTGTTTATTGGAAAACAAAAATAGAAAGTCAAACTAACAAATAACAGGAGTTCCCTATGTACAATCATTTCAAATATTAATGAAACTGTTCATACTCTTGCCACAGTATGTTCAACAATATTTTCAATTCTATTCACATATTTTTTTTCTTTCTCATAAGTTTAATACTCACTTACCAAAAGGTAGAATACCCCCCCCCCCCTCCAAAATATTTATTTCCTTACAAAACTATGGTTTCTCCCTACCATGCTACTCCATCTAAAAGAAACTTAGTAAACAACCATTCTACTAGATTTTAACACACTCATGCCTGCACATCCATATGCTGCCAACTACACCCAGACACAAGCAGGCTCAATCACTCAAAAGTCTATGCTGCCACTGTTAGCAGCCAATCAAACCTTAAAGAAGAGAAGTGACATAGCCAAGCACACCAGCCTTCCGCACCTCATTTCCACGCAGCTTGGTAGGGGGTTAGTGAGATGTAACATAACTGGATCACTTTACCTTTAATAACCTCAAGTTCTGTTTCAATTGACTGGTCTGTATCATTGAGCTGATGGTCATCGTCACCTCCACCAACAAAGCTATCGTCTCCACCCTCACCAGCATCCACCCCTTCATCATACTGCAGCTCTTCCTGGTCCATCTTTGAGTTGTGTCTGGAAACAGCAAACTAAACTCAAAACAAAATCTTCGCCTCCTTCACCTGCGCATGATGCACCCATGACATAACCGAGTTTGTCTTTTATTCATTTTTACAATCTTTTACTTCCTCTTTTTTATCTATCTCCTTTTCTGTCTTTAAAAAATGGAAGAATGAAGCAACTTCTAGTTAAAATTTGTACAACTATTTTGGTCATTACAAGTATGAAATGAATTCACCCACCCCATCCATCCCCTTCACCTTTTAATTTTAATTATTTACTTTTGTTTGAGCAAAGTACTGTCAAGGACTACAAGATTTCCAGACACACGTATACAGGTCTATATACACACATTACAACCCACACACACACACACACACACACACATATATAAACATGATCTTCTGCTAAGAGTCATGCCAGAGCCATTGCTCTTAAATCAATCACCTACACTCATTCTTGTTTCTAAATATAAACCTATACATTAAAATTAACTGAATTAAGTACTGAAGATGAAAAAATTACTGAATCATATTATCTTAGCATGACAAAATGTTGCATAAAAATCAAATTAAAAATGTCTCAAAGTTTTTCGGATAA